GCCTGCTCTGCATCCGTGCCCTGCACCCTATCTTATATATTTCCCCAGGTCCAACAAATGCCTATCTCTTGAGCTCCCTGAACATTCTACACTTGATGGAATTTCTCTGAGTCTGCCTCCTCTGCCAGCCCAATGTCCTTGTGCGTAGGGACAATGTGTGTGTGTGTGTGTGTGTGTGTGTTTTCTTCTGTATCTCCTGCTCAGTACAGAATCTGTCATAAAGTAGGCATTCAGTAAATATCTGTTGGCTGGTGATGGGGTTGGGGTTCAAGGCATTACTTAGGGTACTGGACTTCCATCTATATCCCATAAAAAGTTCCATTTAGGTTTTCCCAAATATTTGAATCAAATTTTATTTTTAAAAGAGTGTTAAATTATTTTTCATACTTCAGCATAATAGATTCACATACATTATTTACAAATATGTGACACACTGCAGATCAACAGGCTAAGTGTGTTGCAAAGATAAATCATTTTTGTAAAGACTCTGAATAAATCTTCTGTCATTTGCTGGTACCTTAAATTCCAAGGTTATAAGGCTGGTTATTTTTAAAACTGTTAGAGTTTACAACCATTTATTTGTGTGAATTAGGAATTTCTTATTACAATGTGACCAAAGGAAATGGCAGAAATAAACTAAAGCCTGAAGCTGGTATCAGATTGCAATGGTTCCCCATAACCACAATTTCTTTTTTTTTTTTTAAGATTTTATTTTTAACTAATCTCTACACCAAACGTGGGACTTGAACTTTCAACCCCAAGATCAAGAGTCACACCCTCCACCAATGGAGCCAACCAGGCGTCACCATCACCACAATTTCTATTTTTTTTCCATTTATTTATTTTTTATTTTATTTTATTTTAAGATTTTATTTATTTATTTGACAGAGAGAGACACAGTGAGAGAGGGAACACAAGCAGGGGGAGTGGGAGAGAGAGAAGCAGGCTCCCCGCAGAGCAGGGAGCCCGATGCGGGACTCGATCCCAGGACCCTGGGATCATGACCTGAGCTGAAGGCAGTCGCTTAACCAACTGAGCCACCCAGGCGCCCTTTTTTTCCCATTTATTAAAGCAACCTATAATTCTCATTGGCTGGCTTTACAATGTGCGAGTACAATAAGTTTGAAGTTATAATGGAGATGTGTATACTGATGAAATGTACCGTTAGCCCCCTGATATTTTAGGGATTTCTCTAAGATGTTTGAAATATGCGCCTGGCCATTTCTTTAAAAGTTTGAAAACTACTGGCTAAGGGGAAGCAGGGTCCTGAGGCTGAGGCTGCCCAGAGATTTAGCACTCAGTTCCCAAGAAAACAAGGCAACTTCTAGGGACTGGACCCGGGAGGGCAATGGAAGAACTAGGGAGCTGGGAAGAACATTTCTGAGTTTTGTAAGGAACAGGGAAGAGCAGGAAGCAGCTCTGTGTCCCGTCTTCACATCAAGGATCCAAAGGTCTGCAGGTCAGTCCCACTGCCTACTTCACAATAGGGCCCTCTCTGCTCTGCTGGTGGGAAAGTCCTGGAGGAACAGATTCTCATGTGCCTGTGTGCTAGCCTCTGGATGGAGAGTCCCTGTCCCTGCAAATCTGCAAGGGGAATTCTGAAGGGACAGAAGTGAGGGGAAATAGGCCTCAGGCTTTTTACAGTAACCTGGAAGAGCTAAACAGGGAGGCACAGTCCAGGGGCTGCCAGTATTAGGGGCAGCACAAAGGTCCCTTCCTTCTCTTTCCTCCAGATAGCGTGTCAAACCAGTGGTATGGGTTAGCTGTCCGACTGGACTTTGTGTGCCCTTCCCCTGGTTCCTGCGAGTTTCCTTCTAACTCATTTAACAGATGTAAATTGGGTACAACATGCTGTGCCGGGTCCTCCTTTCTGGGCTTTCTATAACCATGCTTGCCCAGGGCTCCCTAAATCCCACCCTGAATAAATCTTCTCCCTGATTCTGTTTTCCCCTCAACCTACTGTCCTATCTCATCCCCTGCCTTTCATACTGAAACTTCTTGAAAATAAGAATTCTCTGCCCGTAGACCATCATGTCATACTCCCCCAACCCCACTGTACCTGGTTTTCCCCTGCTGCACGAATGGTATCATTCCCTCAAAGGTCATTAGTGACTTCCTTATGCTAAAATCCAGCACCTTCCTGTAAGGCCTCCATCCTCACTGACAACCCGCAACCACTCCTTGAGATACCCTTGGCTTTTGTGACTTTGCTTCCTGCTCTCCCTCCACCTCCTTGACCACTTCTAGCTTGTCTCCAAGGACTTCAATACCTCTTCTTGTTCTTCTCAAGGAAGATGGTTATGTTTGCCAGGGCTGCTGTAACAAGGTATGACAGACTGGGGGGCTGAAAAAACAGAAATTTATTTTCTCACAGCCTCAGAAGATGGGGTCTGAGAACAGATGTTGGCAGTGAGGGTTCTCCCCAGGCCTCCTTCTTTTCTTGGCATGGCCATGGTCATCTTCTCACCGTGTCCTTGCATGTTCCCTCCTCTGTGTTTTTCTGGCCCCTAATCTCTCCTTAGGAGGACCAGTGTTACTGGATTAGGTCCCACCCTGATGACCTCATTTTAACTCAGTTGCCTCCGTAAAGGCTCTGACTCCAAATACATTCACATTCTGAGGTACTGGGGGGTCAGGACTTCAACACACAAATGCTGGGGAGGAACACAATTTAACCCACAGCAAAAGTCTTCCAGATAAGGTTCTGGACCTTTTTAAATGCTTCTTTCCTACACCCATTTCTAAAGCTTCATATATTATTATTCAGTGAATGCTTTTATCAATTTCATTTTTAATTAAAAAAATGTATCTCATTAAAATAAAATGGAGCAATCCTTTAGTGTTTGAAGAAAAGGTTAATAAGAGGATATGATTTGGGATGACTGGGTGGCTCAGTCGTTAAGCATCTGCCTTCAGCTCAGGTCATGATCCCAAGGTCCTGGGATTGAGCCCCACATTGGGCTCCCTGCTCAGCCGGGAGCCTGCTTCTCCCTCTCCCCGCTGCTCCCCCTGCTGTGCTCTCTCTCTGACAAATAAATAAAATCTTTCAAAAAAAATAAGAGGATATGATTTTCAAGTAAATACTTATATCTCAAAGTTGTCTGCTGAGCTCTGATATCAAATTCCCACCAAGTTTTCAGACAGCTCCCCTTGATGGCTGGTACGTCACACACGGTGTTCTCTCCACAAATGCCATTCTCACTCCTTAACCCTCATCTGTTGGCCAAAATTCCCCAAGACTTTTTCAATGACTTCTCTCCCCTGCTTCACCCCATACCCAAACATTTTGTCCATTCTATATGTCCCTCCCTCAACACTGGTTATGTAATTTTTGAGACCCAGTTCAAAATTTGTAGGGCTCTTTGTTCAAAATCTATCCAGAGTTTCAAGACAGTGACAGCAGAGCATTAAACCAAGCACAGGGCCCTCAGAGCATGGTCCTATGTGACTCTGAGGGTCGCACGTCCTTGAAGCTGGCCCTGCCCCTCCATTATCCCTCCCACATCACCCTGCACTCCACTCCCATTGATGCCTTGGATTTCCACACTGGCCTCCTGTGACCCCACATCCATCTCACCTTCTCCATCCCACCCCATCTGCCCGAAAACTCCTACTCTATGACATCTGCACCAGGTATCCTCTGCTCAAAGCCTTTGGTATTTCCTCATTTCCTACCAAACTGGGCACAGCCCCTTCAGGCCAGCATGTTAGGCCCTGACTTCCTGAATTGACTCCTACTCACGCCTGCCTGACACAAAGCTTGAGGCAAATGTTCTAGTCACTCTCCTTGGACTGTTCTCCATATAGCTTGATCTCCAAGCCTTGTGTTTCTGAAATCCTACCTTCTCCATCTGTGCCATCAGAACCACTCCGAAGATTAACACCTACCTCTTTCAAGAAGTGTTTTCTGGGTCTGGTCTCTTCTTTCTGGTTAGCCCCACATGTTCAGGTGTGTGGTAAGCACTTACTGCACATTGCTCCTTGCCAAGGGTTTGTGTGCTTTTATCCTTTAAACCTCCCATACCCCCAGAGGCAGGTTCTATCACTATGCCCTGGGGGCGCTTAGAGGGGCTGGCTGTGTTGTACAAGGTCACTTGCATGGTGGTGGACCTGCGTTCAAACCCAACAGTCTGGCTCAGAGTCTGTGCCTGTCTTGTGTCTTGTGTGGCTGGTATTTGTGTATTTCTTCTATATTCACACTAGACAATGAGCCCTTTGAAGAAAATAGATCTTTTTCATCTTCGTTTTCCTTAAGGCACTTCCTTTGTCTCCACATTCAGCCCATGTTGTTTATGTGACGGAGCAGGAAGTTTTGAAACACTGGGTTAGCCCAGGAAGATGCAATGACCAAATATATTACCTTACATTTCCAAATACTCAGCCAATTAAGGATTCTTTGGAGCGACAACGACCCTTTTCAAAAGCAATGTACTTTGGGGACCATTCAGGAGATATATATTTGCCAATCACACTTAACTTATGAATTGGTAGATTCAACTCTGCATTGGCCTGCCTTCCTTCCTTCTAACTGAGAGTCATCGGAGTGGATCTTTGATTGGATGGAGGCAGTCCAGCTCCCCCACCTTTGCCCTGTTGTTTGGTTTTGTATTAACCTCTGCCTCCACCTCAAATCCCCCCAACTGCAGGCGAGGTTTTCAGAGGGAAAGGGAGGAAGCTGGATTTCTTAGTCTCCCACCATTCCTTTTTTCTAAGTGGCAATGAGGGAGTCCGCTTCTTTCAGAACTTCTGTAGGGTCCAAATGCACGTGGTTCTTTTCTCTCCCTTTCCTGCCCAAGAACCAGTGATGCAGAGTGAAAACTGAGGGAGATTTTAGAGAGAGGGACACATGGTCAGCAAAAAGAGAACAAGGGAAAAAACAGATTACAAAGCAGTATGTGTAATATGATCTCATTCTTATATTTTTATATTTGAATAAATGTGTGTGTTACACTTTACCCATAGACATTTGAGAAATATGTCTTGTAAAAAGGAAGACATACCTGGGTGGCTCAGTCGGCTGAGTGTCCAACTCTTGATTTTGGCTCAGTTCATGATCTCAGGGTCTTGAGACTGAGCCCCGTGTCGGGATCTGTGCTCAGTGTGAAGTCTGCTCATCCCTCTCGCTCTGCTCCTCCCCCCACTTGCATTCTCTCTCTCTAAATAAATAAGATGTTTTTAAAATAATAAATAAATAAATAAATAAATAAATAAGACATACTTTTCAAAGATATTCACCCAAATGTTCTCCAGTGGTTGTACCGGAGTAGTGACTCTTGGATGCAACTGTCTTAGTTTTTTAAAAATGTATTTTAGGTGCACCTAGCTGGCTCAGTCAGTATAGCACGTGACCCTTAATCTCAAGGTCTGAGTTCAAGCCCCAAGTTGGGCATGGAGCCTACTTAAAAAATAAATAAATAAAAACTGTATTTTAAAATTTTTTCTGCAGTTAAGTGTTACTTGGGATCTATGTGTTTTGTATTGAGTTGGAACTTTAGAAGCGGTAAGTAGCCTTCACTCTTGCACCCAACTCCTCACCTCACACAATTCCCACTCTGGATACTGTTGGGAGAAACAGGAGGAACTAGATGCCACCCAAGGTCCTTTGCTTGTGGTCTGCAGGCATGTGAGTGCCTTCCCTGGGCAGAAACTTGGTCAGAAACATACCACTTCCCCTTTGAGCGGGAATTCCGGGGCCAAGGTGGTGACGTGATTTGACCCAAGAGGGTGTAACAAGCCCGGACGAAAAGGGAATTGAGCAGAGCTCTCCTGATTCACTGTCTTGTATGTTCACCACAGTGCTCTACTTCCTGGGGTTGCTTTTTGCCACACTTGGGGCTCTATCAGCCTAGAGCTCACTGGTGGTTCCCTTCTTAGGACCATATGAGGTAGGGACAGAGAATGATGACCCATACGGGGTCCTTCCACCCTGCCAGCTGATGCCCCCTCTCTGTCCCTCTTGCCCCTCTACTTCAAAAGTGCATCACCTGCCCTGTTCCTAACCTCTTCTCAACCTACTGCAACCTGCACACCATAAGCTAGCATGTTGTTGGCATTCTAGAAATGCTGGTTGAGTGACCAGATCCTCACATGCTCTGTACTCTAACCTGATTCCATGTTGCCCTCACCTCTGCTTAGACACAGATCTCTTAGTAACTCTAGCCCTCTCTCACTCCTTTGCTGGAAATCCAGCCTAAGGGAACAGAAAGAATATCACTTCAAACAATACCTTATTTCTCTACCTCAACATTCCCCAGCTTCAGATAATAGGAATGGGGGAGAAAATGCATGAACACAATGAAATCAAGCCAAGAATGTCTGAGAAGTGGGACATCGCGTCCTATTTGTCCCTGACAACACCATCAGAACTGAAATCTGACTGGGTCCATTCTCTTGCTACTCATCTGGCCTGGACTCCTCTCCCTCCCACTGGCTCTGTCCCGCCCTTCTCCATAAAGCCTTCTCAGCCCATGTGAGCCCACAAAAGCTACTTGTGACAGTGCTTTATTATGAATTCACTGTTCATCTGTTTATATCTTATCTCCTCCCAGATACAAAGCTCTTTGAGGACTGAAATCGTATTTCTGGATATAGCAAAGTGCCCTGGTCTTGGGACTGAGATCTGGGCAAAATGCCTGGCTCAACCCCGTGGTGGTTATAAGACCACAGGTAAGTTGCTTGAACTGCTTCGAGGCTTGGTTATCTCATCTGTCAGTTAGGCAACAATAATCTCTACCTCATAGGACTGGTGAAAAGATGAAATGAAACAATACATTTAAGAGTTCTGGTAATTTAGTTATTTTCCCAACATTTAACATCTTGCCATCCTTCCCAATACCTAGTGCAAGGCCTTTCATGTAAATGTTCAATAAACATTTTATTGATTGATTGACAGATGGTGAGTTACACTCCATTCCTTCCTGAATCTCCTCTGTGTATCTCAGAGGGTTGGCCCATAGGAATATACTATACTATATTTTGATAGCCACAAGAAATTAGAGATGACGGGCGCCTGGGTGACTCAGTCAAGCGTCTGCCTTCGGCTCCGGTCATGATCCCAGCGTCCTGGGATCGAGTCCCGCATTGGGCTCCCTGCTCAGCGGGGAGCCTGCTTCTCCCTCTCCCACTCACCCTGCTTGTGTTCCCTCTCTCGCCGTGTCTCTCTCTGTCAAATAAATAAATAAAACCTTAAAAAAAAAAAAAAGAAATTAGAGATAAGTATTATGGATTTTTATTTCAAAATCCATCTATAAAATAGTCTAAGTATCTTTTCGTTTCATAAGTTTCCTACACCCAGAGAAAAATAACATGTTTGAGAAAAAGTCTATGCCAACCAGTCCTAATGGAGTAGGACTTATATGAGCAATTAGTATTCTCTTCCACAAAAGAGCTTTAATGTGATCTATCCATTAGAAAGTAGGTGTAAGGGTCAGGGATTTGGCCAGAAATAGATGGTATACTTAAAAGGGATAACTGAAAAGAGTTTGTCAAGTTTTTTTGTTTTTTTTTTTTTACAAAGGGTTGTGAGAGACCAAAAAGGAATGGTGAAATAGTCCGTGTTACAACAATGGGGATCTTATGTTCTGCTAGATCTAAAGGCGCAAAGGGAAGGAAAAGTTACTGGTAACAGAAAGAGCTACCCGTTACAAAGGCCACCTGACATATGCTGAGGTCTCCACTAGAGGAACACAGATCTGCAGAAAGGGAGCTGGTGGAACCAATACCCCAACTTTCCTTTCTGCCTGTCCTCCAATATCCTATTGGGGCTTCAACCCAGCCAAAAGCCAAAGGGCAAGGGGCTATGTTGGTAGCCCACTGAGGTTAGCCCCCTGAAGACAGAGTTGGGTGGACAGTGGATCTTGAAGGCAAATTGAGAATATCCAGCATGATAGGAAAAGAGAAAGAGAAGTCAAGGGAAATTACAGTAAATAAAAATAATAACAAAAATGGATGTTAGAAATAAATCCAAATAACTAATTTTAGTAATCACAATAAATGTAAATAGATGAAAGAGATTCTTAGATTGGAAAAACAAAAAGACAGTCCACCACAATTTCGATTTAAAGGAGACATATCTCAAGCAAAAGATACTGACAGGTAGAAAACAGAAAAAGATACATCATGTAAATATTAACGAAAGGAGGGCTTCTCTAGTAATACTAATATCAAACATGACAGAATTTAAGGTGATAATTTTTAATGTAAGTGAAGAAACCAAAATAACAAGAGGATACAAAAATCATGAAATCATACCTACTTAATAATATAATCTTAAAACATACAAAGTTAAAATTGATGGATTTATATGAGGAAACTGACAAATCTACAATCATAGCAGAAAATTTTAAAGCCTATCTCTCAGAACCTGACAGAAAAAGCAGACTAACAGTTATAAGACAATTAAGGCTCCCTAAATTTGAACAAAACATTTAAAAATGGCTAACTCCAGTAGGTAACATATAGGCTCCTGCACCTGTCAAACAAACAACACACATTTTTTTTCAAGCACAGATGGAACATTTTCACATCTGATCACACTAGGCCACAAAAGAAGTCTCAAATAGTTTCAATGAATCAATATCATAGTGACTATGGTCTCTGAAAGCAATGCAATATTAGTGATTATTAGAAATCAATAAGAAGATATCCAAACCACTCCTCCCATGTATTTTGAAACTAAATGGCATGCTTCTCATACTTCTAAATAGTTCATAATTTAATGATGATAATTTCAAGGGAAATTATAAAACATTTAAAACTAATAGCTATGAAAACCCAACATATCAACTCTTTTGGAATGCAGGTAAAGAAGTACTTACAGGGAAAATCAAAGCCTTAAATACATCTATTAGAAAACAAAAAGACTGTAAACTATGAGCTGGGAGTTAAACTCATGAAGAACAGTGAATTTAGTATCTGTCTTAAATACAATGACATATATTTGTACATTTTCATCTAATAAATTTATAAGCTCTTTTTTTGTGCTATAGCTGTTTTGCTTCCTCATTGCTTGGCACATATTAGGTGCTCAATAAATGCCTGGGAGAGTGAATACCCAAGAAATTTCCTATTTTCTAGTAATCACATTAGAAAAATGTAAAAATATGGGGCGCCTGGGTGGCTCAGTTGGTTAAGCATCAGCCTTCGGTGTGGGTCATGATCTCCAGGTCCCGAGATCAAGCCCCATATCGGGCTCCCAGCTCAGCAGGGAGTCTTCTTCTCCCTCTCCCTCTCCCCTGCTTGTGCTCTCTCTGCCTCTCTCTCTCTCAAATGAATAAATAAAATCTTAAAAATAAAATGTGAAAACATATAAAACAGGTAAAACTAATTTTAATATTTTATTGAATTCATTGTATCCAACATATTGTCATTTCAACAATCAATATAAAAAATGACTAAGCCTTAGAAAGTCAGTGTGTATTTCGCACTTAAAACTGATATCAATGCAGATGCTAAATTTTCATCAGAGACACTTGATTGGTTTTTAGATTTCATAAAATTTAACAAATTTAAAAAGTATGTTCACATACCGAAGTTGTTTGATACTTACTTAAAAGTTTTCCAATAACTGAATTGTCAGCTTTTAAATTTAAATATTAAAATTAAATAAAATTTAAAAATTCAGTTCTTTAGTCATACTGGGCACATTTTAAGCACCCAACAGCCTCATGTGGCTACCTAGAGGCTATAGTATTAGACAGTGTAGTCCTTGTCCATGAAGATATTCATGGAGCAAAAAACTGCCTTTTCCAAACTATTCCTCCTTGCCTTGTCTGCTGGCCTATGTTAGGTTATAGAACTTTCCATTCTGACCTCAATATAAAGCAACTTTCCTGCCTAAGCTACTATGTAAGAAGTAAACTAGCTCTGGACTATCAAAGCAGCACCTCTTCCAATAGCCCATGAAAATTTCTATTTAACAATAGCACTAATCACATTACATTCTTTGTCAAGATCAGTAAGCTACACTTCAAAAAATATTAAAACCTTATGTAATGGAAGCAGTAGGGTAGTTTGCAAGTGAATTCACAGCACTAGATTTCAGAGGACCTCAGCAAGAAAATGGTGAGAATTCCCTGGGTCCATTCTCTCCCCAATCTCCAAATTGACTGCCTCTGGGAACAAAGTGGAAGGAGAGCTCCTGGCAACACTGCTCCCTGTGTTTACCCACCTCCCACCCTCCAGGGCTTCATTACAAGCGCAACACCAACACACCAGGCCACCTGTCTCCTCCTTCCCCTGCTTGGCTTGGTCAGAAAGGAGGGCTTATTTCAGCTAAAGAAACTAAACACCCCGATCAGGTCATTCTTTCCACTTTGGCATAAATTCAAGACATGCAGAACCCTTGGGAGGCTCTTCACCACATGGCCATGTCCTCTTTTCCTCTCAAGCCTTGTCCTTCCAGCTTGTGGAAAGAAAAACTCAGAAAAACAGTTCAAGGGCTCTGCTTCTGGCATGGCTACTGACTCACAATGAAACCTGGAGCAAGTCTTTTTGGCTGAGATTCTAAAACAGGAATAAAGTCTTCCCTACTTATATCCTAGACTATCATGAAGGTCAAAGGAGAATACATAGTCTACATAAAAATACCTGGAGAAGTATAGAGTACTTTACAGACCTAAAGTATCATTTTAAAATCATGTTGGCTGCAGGTTTCCCAACATATACCCAAGAAAGACTTAAAAAGTAGGTAAGCCCAACAGGCCTTCTCATTTCCTGTTGCAGATATAAATCAGAATAAACTTTTTGGAGGGAAATGCGACAGTATCCATCAAAATGTTAAGTGTTCATAGCCTTGGAATCATAAATTCCATGTCTAAGAGTAACCAGAGAAATACTCATATGTGTTGAAGAAGACGCATGGTTTGCAATAGCAAAAACTGAAACTTGCCTGAAGTTCCAGCCATAAGTAGTAATAAAGAGAACTACGCAGCTGCTACAGAACAAGGGAGACCTATGTATATCTATGCAAATGAGGCCACAACCTTCGGATAGTTTATAAAAGCAGATTACAGATAGAATATATTAAATAGTATAAATATATTATTCATATTGCATTAAAACTATGGAAAACATCAGTAAATGATCTTTTAGGAGACAGACTTTGGTAGTAGATCTTTCACTTTTTACTTTTGTTTCTGTACGGTTTAAACTTCACATTGAGCATATGCCACTTTTTGATAAGCAAAGGCAGTAAAGATGTTTCCATCTTAAAAAAAAAAATGGCGCCTGGTGGCTCAGTCATTAAGCGTCTGCCTTTGGATCAGGTCATGATCCTGGGGTCCTGGGGGCTACCTGCTCAGTGGGAAGCCTGCTTTTCCCTCTCCCACTACTCCGGCTTGTGTTCCCCTCTTGCTGTGTCTCTCTCTGTCAAATAAATAAATAAAATCTTTTTAAAAAAATGATGAAAGAGAAAAACTTATGCCAAAAATGCACTCAGCAGTAGGGATTTGAAATGATTAAAAGCTATGGTCCACTTCCTTGAGGGATTTGCAAATTAGGCAGGCATATTTAAAGAAAAGAGCAGCTACTCCTTCCTTACCCTCCAAATAATTCTCAGTTTTCCAAATAACTTTGTAATTTTATTTTTCCATAGTTATGTGAGACCTTCCTTTTCACTATTTTTAAACCTTTTTTAGCTTTCAAAGTCCCAAGATATATTTAACTGCATTTTTTATTTGTTCATTCAAGAAATATTCATAATGTACCCCACAGCCAAGGCACTGTACCATATACTATGGTGGAATGGAGGGATTTCTTATTGTGATCTTGGAGAGTTTGCAGTCTGATGGGAAACGCAAGGGATGTGTATGAAGAATAATAATGCGAGGGAGAGTGACAAGTGCCCAAAGGGATAAACTAGATAAAGGATTCTGGGGCCTCAGAGTGTATGCCCTGGGGAATGTAACAGGCAAGAGGGTGGTGAGAGATTTGTGAATGGGGGTGTTGGCCCTGGGTTGTGAAGTGGTGGGATTTGGAAAAGTAAATATCACTTTCCAAATGTAGAAATGAATTAGAAATGTATAGGAGTTAAAGCAAGTGCCAAAGTTTACTGCTTTTTAAAAAAATATATTTTATTTATTTATTTGACAGAGAGAAACACAGCGAGAGAGGGAACACAAGCAGGGGGAGTGGGAGAGGGAGAAGCAGGCTTCCTGCAGAGCAGGGAGCCCGATGTGGGGCTCGATGCAGGGCTCTATCTCAGGACCCTGGGATCATGACCCGAGCCGAAGGCAGACGCTTAACAGTTGAGCCACCTGGGCACCCCTACTGCTGTTTTTATTTCCAATGACTAAACTGACCCTTTTGCCACACACCAGTCCTTTGTTGTTGTTTAACCAAAGGGAAAGGATATGAACTTGGTGCCCACTGGTGGTCTACCACTCTCCCTCCCAGGGTGGGCCTTTGGAGCTCTGACTGAGTTTTGGTAGTGCTGGTTCAGAGTTAGCACCCCTCCCCCATAAAAGGAGCTGTTGGGTAGATTTTTCTGGTAACTGGAAATCTCTGAACAAACCTGATCTCGGAACTGAGTCAAAAGTCATGTCTAGAGAGTCGGGGCTGGGGAGAGGTTGCAGGGTGTCAGCTTATGCTTTGTCTTCAGCCAGCCTTCTGTTCCCTCTTCGGGTAGGCTCAGAACAGTTGTGGAAATGGGAAGAAGTTGTATACTGAGTGAAGGAAAGGATCTGCAAAAATACATTTAAATGACATCAGAAGATGGGAAAAGATTTATATTGTGATGAAGATCACCTGGGAATAAAAGAACAAAGGAGAAACACTGTACCTATTCAGTTGGGCTGTGTAAAGGAGATCGAGGAAAAGAAGAGCAACAACTTTCTGAACAGAAAAGCGACCACTTTCTGGAAGGTAGGACGTGCGGAGAAGTGAATCCGAGGCGATATTCGGGAGGATAGACGGCGGGGGAGGGGCCTCCGTCGGCCGCTTCTGGCAAGTGATAGAACCACGGAGCACAAAATCGGAACTTTTAAAAGTCTGCTCCGCTGAGGGACGTCACTCTGGTGGCTAAGCGGGGGTGGAACCCTCAGGGACAGTGTGGTCTCAGGACCCTCGGGGTCACAGAAGGACCGGGGGTGCCTGAGGGCGGCAGAGCTCCCAGGTATCGGAACAGGGAAGCCGGCTGCAGAGGCGGAGCCCAGGCGCGGGCTCTCAGCTCGGGGTGGCCATTGACCGTGATCCGCGGCACAGTCGGGCCACTGCTCCTCCAGCAGGGACCCAACAAGCGGCAGATCCGGGGAGACTCACCTTCCTCCCCTGGGAGGAGCCGCGCGGGAGTGCACCACAGGGATCTGCTGGGTTTGGAGACTCCACCCGGGGTTGGGTGCCAGAGACAGAAACGCGCGGTCACAGGCCGGTTGAGCACGGAGTGACCGGGGAGACCGGGGAGACGGGAGTGACTGACAGCTTTTCTCTGGGGGCGCACTGAGGAGCGGGGCCCCGAGTTCTCGGCTCCTCCGGGGCGGAGATTGGGAGGCCGCCATTTTCACTCTCCGCCTCCAAAGCGGTACGGAAAGCTCGCAGGGAAAAAAAGCCCCGGAGAGCAAACCCGAGCAGATCACTTAGCCGGGAGGGGGCAAGGGCGGGGCAATTCCGCCTCCGGCAGAGACAGTTGGAAACCACGGCAACAGGCCCCTCCCCAGAAGATCAGCGAGAACAGCCAGCCAAGACCAAGATCACCGATCAATGAGAACGGCAGAACTCCAGCGCTAAGGGACTACTGCACATAGAATTCACGGCTTTTTTACCATGATTTTTTAGTCTTTTAAAGTTAATTTTTTTTAACTTTTTGTCTTTTTATTTCTTTTTGAATTTTTCTTTTTCCCTTTCTCAACCAACATCTTATCAATCCCTTTAAAAAAAATTTTTTTTTATTTTTCATTTTTAGAGTCATATTCTATCCCTTCATAGTAGTTACCCATATTTTTGGCTTATATATATAAGTTGTTCTCTCTTTAAAATTTTGAGATAGTTTCTTCTAACATTAAAATATACCCTAAATCTCTAGTATATGGTGTTTTCTATTCCCCTGCCTGATCACATCCTCTCCCTTTTTTTTTTCTTTTTCTTTTTTCTTTTTTTAAATCCTCTTTCTTTTTTCAAACAACTTCTTATCAATTCCTTTTATAAAATTTTTTATAATTTCCATTTTTACAGTCATTTTCCATCCCTTCATCATATCAACCCTTATTTTTGTACATATATATGTTTTTCTTTCTTTAAAATTTTGGGAGACACTTCTTCTAAAAGACCAAAACACACCCCAAATCTAGTGTGTGGCACTGATCTATATACCATATAGATCATATTTGATCACATTCTGGTTTTTCTTTTGTTGTTGTTGTTTTGTTTTGTTTGTTTTTGTTTTTATCTTTATCTTTTTCTTTTTTTTTCTTTTTCTTTTTTCTCTCTTTCCCCTTCTTATCCCACTGCTTCAGGTCTTTTCTGATTTGTTTAGAGTATATTTTCTGGGGACGTGGTTACTCTGCTAGCATTTTGTTCTCTCATTAATCTATTCTCCTCTGCACAAAATGACGAGACGGAAAAAATCACCTCAACAAAAAGAACAAGAGGCAGTACCGACTGCCAGGGACCTACTCAATACGGACATTAGTACGATGTCAGATCTAGAGTTCAGAATCATCACTTTAAAGATACTAGCTGGGCTTGAAAAAAATATGGAAGTTATTAGAGAAACTCTTTCTGGAGAAGTAAAAGAGCTAAAATCCAACCAAGTAGAAATCAAAAAGGCTATTAATGAGGTGCAATCAAAAATGGGGGCGCTAACTGCTAGAATAAATGAGGCAGAAGAGAGAATCAGTAATATAGAAGATGAAATGCTGGAAAATAAAGAAGCTGAGAAAAAGAGAGATAAACAACTACTGGATCATGAGGGCAGAATTCGAGAGATAAGCGATACCATAAGACGAAACAACATTAGAATAATTGGGATCCCAGAAGAAGAAGAAAGAGAGAGAGGGGCAGAAGGTATAATGGAGCAAATTATAGCAGAGAACTTCCCTAATTTGGGGAAAGAAACAGGCATGAAAATCCAGGAAGCACAGAGAACCCCTCTCAAAATCAATAAAAATAGGTCAACTCCCCGACATCTAATAGTAAAACTTACGAGTCTCATAGACAAAGAGAAAATCCTGAAAGCAGCTCGGGAGAAGAGATAGGTAACCTACAATGGTAGAAACATTAGATTGGCAACAGACCTATCCACAGAGACCTGGCAGGCCAGAAAGGACTGGCAGGATATATTCAGAGCACTAAATGAGAAAAATATGCAGCCAAGAATACTATATCCAGCTAGGCTGTCATTGAAAATTGAAGGAGAGATAAAAAGCTTCCAGGACAAACAAAAACTAAAGGAATTTGCAAACACAAAACCAGCCCTACAGGAAATCTTGAAAGGGGTCCTCTAAGCAAAGAGAGACCCTAAAAGCAACATAGACCAGAAAGGAACACAGACAATATACGGTAACAGTCACCTTACAGGCAATACAATGGCACTAAATTCCTATCTTTCAATAGTTACCTTGAATGTAAATGGGCTAAATGCCCCAATCAAAAGACACAGGCTAACAGACTGGATTAAAAAACAAGATCCATCGATATGCTGTCTGCAAGAGACTCATTTTAGACCCAAAGACACCCCCAGATTGAAAGTGAGGGGGTGGAAAACTATTTACCATGCTAATGGACACCAAAAGAAAGCTGGGGTGGCAATCCTTATATCAGACAAATTAGATTTTAAACCAAAGACTGTAATAAGAGATGAGGAAGGACACTATATCATACTTAAAGGATCTATCCAACAAGAAGATCTAACAATTGTAAATATCTATGCCCCTAACATGGGAGCAGCCAGTTATATAAGGCAATTAATAACAAAAGCAAAGAAACACATCGACAACAATACAATAATAGTGGGGGACTTTAACATCCCCCTCACTGAAATGGACAGATCATCTAAGGAAAAGATCAACAAGGAAATAAAGACTTTAAATGACACACTGGACCAAATGGACTTCACAGACATATTCAGAACATTCCACCCCAAAGCAACGGAATACACATTCTTCTCTAGTGCCCATGGAACATTCTCCAGAATCGATCACATCCTAGGTCATAAATCAGGTCTCAACCGGTACCAAAAGATTGGGATCATTCCCTGCCTATTTTCAGACCACAATGCTTTGAAACTAGAACTCAATCCCAAGAGGAAAGTCGGAAAGAACTCAAATACATGGAGGCTAAAGAGCATCCTACTGAAGAATGAATGGGTCAACCAGGAAATTAAAGAAGAATTAAAAAAATACATGGAAACCAATGAAAATGAAAACACAACTGTTCAAAATCTTTGGGATGCAGCAAAGGCAGTCCTAAGAGGAAAGTATATAGCAATACAAGCCTTTCTCAAGAAACAAGAAAGGTCTCAAGTACACAACCTAACCCTACACCTAAAGGAGCTGGAGAAAGAACAGCAAATAAAGCCTAAACCCAGCAGGAGAAGAGAAATCATAAAGATCAGAGCAGAAATCAATGAAATAGAAACTAAAAGAACAGTAGAACAGATCAACGAAACTAGGAGCTGGTTCTTTGAAAGAATTAACAAGATTGATAAACCCCTGGCCAGACTTATCAAAAAGAGAAGAGAAATGACCCAAATGAACAAAATCATGAATGAAAGAGGAGAGATCACAACCAACACCAAGGAAATACAAACAATTATAAGAACATATTATGAGCAACTCTATGCCAGCAAATTAGATAACCTGGAAGAGATGGATGCATTCCTAGAGATGTATCAACTACCAAAACTGAACCAGGATGAAATAGAAAACCTGAACAGACCTATAACCACTAAGGAAATTGAAGCAGTCATCAAAAATCTCCCAAAAAACAAAAGCCCAGGGCCAGATGGCTTCCCAGGGGAATTCTACCAAACATTGCAAGAAGAATTAATACCTATTCTTCTGAAACTGTTCCAAAAAATCGAAACGGAAGGAAAACTTCCAAACTCATTTTATGAGGCCAGCATTACCTTGATCCCCAAACCAGACAAAGACCCCATCAAAAAGGAGAATTACAGACCAATATCCCTGATGAACATGGATGCAAAAATTCTCACCAAAATACTAGCCAATAGGATCCAACAGTACATTAAAAGGATTATTCACCATGACCAAGTGGGATTTATCCCTGGGCTGCAAGGTTGGTTCAACATCCGCAAATCAATCAATGTGATACAGTACATTAACAAAGGAAAGAACAAGAATCATATGATCCTCTCAATAGATGCAGAAAAAGCTTTTGACAAAGTACAGCATCCTTTCTTGATCAAAACTCTTCAGAGTATAGGGATAGAGGGTACATACCTCAATATCATAAAAGCCATCTATGAAAAACCTACAGCAAATATTATTCTCAATGGGGAAAAACTGAGAGCTTTCCCCCTAAGGTCAGGAACACGGCAGGGATGTCCACTATCACCACTGCTATTCAACATAGTATTGGAAGTCCTAGCCACAGCAATCAGACAACAAAAAGAAATCAAAGGCATCCAAATTGGCAAAGAAGAAGTGAAACTCTCACTCTTTGCAGATGATATGATACTTTATGTGGAAAACCCAAAAGACTCCACCCCAAAACTGCTAGAACTCAT